GTACCTATACACAATTATATTAATAGTTATAATTAATATTATTTCTATTGTACTATTACTATTTGTAAATTGTTGTAAATACTTTTATATTATCTATTGTTAAAATACAGAAAAAAATACAAATAAAAAAATACTGTACGTCTGTACTTAACTCTAAATTCAGAGGGTCATTGCCAGGAAAAGTTTTAAAAAAAACAAAAATAATATTTTATTTTACTTTGTATACAATATTTACGTACAAAATTGAAAATATATGTATACAAATTAAATAAACAGAAGTAAATTGTTTAGTTGTACATTTAAAACTTTTTATATTAGTAATCCTTTTAAAAAAATTGATGAATTGGCTATATTGCAATTTATACCGACGTTTTTCTGGGTAATTTTCGATTTATTTTTTTACAGCCATTATCATTAACAATCTGTATTTATATGTTGTATACTTATATTATATTGAGTAAATTGGATGGGGTTTATTAAAGTGAAATGGAAGTCACCCATTGACGGCACCCCGTGAGAAGGAATGAATAAATTACAAAACAAATTCAATTTAAACTTTAAAGTATAACTCTGAACTCTCGAATAATTATAACAAGAACACAATACAATATATTAAATACAATTTTGGAATTTGGATTTTTTTTTGTTAATTTATCTTCACACTCACTATCATCACTTGCAGCATGAAGTGTTATTTAATTTTTTTTAATTTACTAGTTCTGAGACATGGACTATAATATTTAATGGTCTGAGTAGGCATATATTTAGTTTATTAATTATGAATAACGTACAGTAGAACGATAATAAGTACAGTAGATATCACCTGTAACTATCATTAAGAACCGGTTAAGTCGTTGTATCCGATCTTAAAATAGGTATGAACATTAAAATTTAAACTAAAAAAAAATGTTTTATAATTTTAATATTCTAAACTATACCTACTTGTAAAAATAGGTATTTTAAAAAGTACCTACATGCTACAGTCTACACCATCGGAAAAAATGTATTCATTTATAGTTCTATTTAAAATTATTTTCGTACCTAATTGAATTTAGAAAATACCTACTATGTTATGAATATTCTTAAATCATTATAGCCGCTCCGGATATCGGTCCGTTGATTGGTATATTTTAATTTCAATGCAGTTTGAACCATTTAAGCAATACCACCGAGACCACAGAGTTTTTTAGTTTTCAATTTATAATAATTTTTCAACTCACGTTTAATAATATTACAAATTTTCCATGTTGTTGATATTGTTGAATGGCCAACCCCAAATTCTAAGGCAATGTAAACATTTTCCCCCTCGTTTTCCAAACGAAATACGATATGAACTTTTTCTTCAATGGGAAATTGTTTTTGTTTACTCATATTGAGTAAAATTACACACAGTACATATTACAACATACAAGTAACAGAAACAATATTATACTATATTATATTATACTAAAATAATATTATAGAAACGAGTTATTTCCTTTATCGAATATTACGACGACACACTCAAGAAGCCGAATTGCTTTTATCGACTCATCAATGCATTATTGTTATCGATCATTACGTCTTTATCACAATATCGTAGCAATAACTGTGTTTTCTCAACCATTTTAAATAATCTGTTTATGCTTAATATAAGCAAATTAGTATAAGCTAATTTTTCAGGGACGTCCCACGTTATTCGTCAACATTAGTCGTAAATCGTCAAGTTATATAATACATTCACTATAATTGATATCGTTATGAAATATAGATGATGTCCGCTGTACTTCGAAATCACCAAAAAAGTAAAAAAGTCAGTTTAAAACGAATGTTATATAATATGTATATTAAAGTAAATATCTACAGCGGTCAGCATAGATGGGGGTTATTGAAACAAAACCACAACGGTAACTTATTAGTAGGAAAGTAACCCAACCTATATCCAAAGGGGTCTGTTGATCATCGCTTTATAATCTCTAAATCTCTTCCTATAATTAGACAGTTCTACATAAACTATTATTTTATTTCGAGTTAAAAATATGTAGGTAGTACTTACAAGTCAAGTAGATATCGAAATCTGTTAAATATAATTTGTATTATTTGTTATCGTTTGAGACCCTATAACTTCGTAAATAAAAAAATACAAAAACTTTTAAGTGATCTTATTTGTTATGCTGTGTGGGTGATGCTGCTAACTCGAATTCCTTTTATATTTTTTGCTTTGCTGTAGGGTAGGTACTATATTATTATCGATTCTCGCCGTTTGCGATCGATACAACGCAACAAGTGCTCCCGACACCGTCCCCCCCTGTAATCGGGAGAAATGTTTTTTTACGATCTCACTAGTCTCGTTCTGACGGTTGGTCATGGTTTGGTTCTGCGTCTACAAATGTAGAGGTCTGTTCCGCCGACGACTGGCTTACCGACCAACGATAAGCATCGCCGCCGAAGTTGCACTTTAATGTTTGAATATTTTTCTTTGTACTTCAGGGAGCTAATGAGAAAATGAGTTAATTTAGATATGCTATCTATAAACCTTGTGTTTATAGTGTTTATATACCTCGATTTAATGGGCTGTATTCATTTTTTTAAGTGATGGAACCTACTATATTAAAGTCTAAAGTTTCGAAAAAAAGAAAAAACATTTTTCCATCCAATTTTATTTGGTTCTGAAAAAGGTTAATTTAAGGACGAAAAGTGACAAACATTTGTGCTTCTCAATATATTTTTTTTATATTTTTGAAACATTGCAATAATAATTCTTTTAATATCTATAAAATATATTTCTAACAATATCTAAATATTTTAAATATTTTAAATAATTTATCTATATTTATATTTTATATTAAAAAATTATAGTAATGACAATTGATTATATGATCATACATTTTATATCAACCCTTATATTTAGAATTAGTATAACAACAACTAAACAAATAGTTGTATCAACCATTCCAATTTTATTAAATTTATTCTGGTTGCCATTACTTTAATATATGTTAGTATGACCGATCATATTATAATTACTAGGGCTCGGATTTATATGTAAATACATATTTTTACTGTGACTTGATAAATTAATTTAGGTAAGTGATAAATTCGTTTCAAGGGATTTCCAATAAAATGAACTATATTTTATTTTACATATTTTTACATATTTTGCCATAAGTACATGTTTTTACATATTTCTCAATAATTCCATTTTTCCTACATATTTCGACAATTTGTTCATTTACGATTTATTATTTATTAATACATACATACAATACATACTTTGGTTAAATAAATACATATAAATCCGAGCCCTAATAATTACATAGTGTCCGAATGAACTCAAAAAAAAAAGAAAAAACTACAGGTAGATAAGAAAATTCAAACAAAGGTTTGGTCAATTTATCAAACTTGTGGATTCGAGTCTCGAATCCACTACCACCCTGTCATCTCTGTGGCTGTGTTGATGTTATACCCTCTATATGTTAGTTACGCCTAAACTATTCTCATCTATACACTGAACAACTGCAGGTTATAACTCAGTCATTTAGATAGGTATTTAAATCATTTCACTGCTGTGAAATTACTGAAATTTAAATAACTTTTATTGCATCGTACAATATTATAATAATAATAATTTATTCGAAACGAATAAAACCGGCAATTGCCCAATAGAACAGGTAGTTAAATTAAAATATGTTAAATTGATAATATGGTGGATATTTGTTAACATATTGGGAGGCAGGGAAGATAATAAACTTATACTACAAGAATTGTACCAATGTTATAAGTGTTACAGGTGATTTAAACATTTATAAATTATAAGAGAGATTAATACCCCTTCATCAAGTTCCTCTATAATGTATTGTAATGTGCTGGGTAGCTTGGTGCCTACTATTGTAGTATAGATAATAGACAAGTGGCTACTAGTACTTTAACGTTGCAGGTAGCAGAGACTTCTGATGATGATGTCGTCGTGGTTGTTGATAAAATAAGTAGACCGATATAGTATATTGTGAATTTATTAGTTTTACTTTTAATAATTTCGACAAAGTCCAAATATGACATACAGAGTGGCGTGAAGGTGCTTGTTCTAATGGGTGGTAGACGGTAGTACACGTCTGAATACAGGCCGATTCGGGCTCCCTTATATATGAGGTTCCCCGTACCCCTTGCCTATGGATACTGTATCTCGGCTCACGGATGTGATTTGTGTGGTCATCGTTCCAGCCCACGCATTCATGATGTCCCAATATAATTCTGCGTATTACTAAAATATTAATCTATCGTCTATTTCATTAAAATAATCATTCTACTCTTTTAATATCGTTGTGTTCAGTGCTTCTGTAAAATATTACATCCGCCTATTTTTGAACCCTTCCGCCTGAGTCATTATATTATTCAGTGAGCTTGTTTCCTTATGTCAAACAAAGGAGGAAATCCTATTTCCGTTTTTAATAACCGATTTATGCCGATCTACAGTATATTATGCTAAATATGCACCTGTGCAATTGGTTTAATTGTTACGTAGTAACTTGCTTACTACAGTATCATACATGAGAATTAATTCTAAAATTAGTTTAATGTTTATAAAGTGTTTTTTAACATAACTCGAGTTTCAGATTAATATACAAATATCGAAGTCTTCTCTTAAAAATGTTTTAATTTTGACAGATGATAAGACTTATAATTATTTTTCAATAACATTGATTACCTAGTTAAAATCATGTTGGCTTAAATTAAAAAAAAATAATTTTTAAAATTGTGGCCATAATTATTATGTATAATTTGTGTTATTTGTATGTTACGAACGTATACTATGCCTATGACAACTGTTAAAATATGATTACCTATGTATCTATTAACTAATATCAAATTATTTGTTTTTATCTGAAACGTAAAGACACGTTGACACGTCCTTTACGTATACAGTTGAATGACATAATATTGCAGCAGAATACCTATTATTATTATAACTTGTAACATTTTAAACTTTAAATTGTATAGTGTTATTATAATATATATATTACCCATCACGTCCCTGGTGCTTCGTAAGTCTGTAGTACGAGTTTCTGCATAGATGAACCAAAACCGAAAAGTAAAATTTTAAATAAAAACAAAACCGAATTAAAAATATTGTTTAATCAATAACAGCAAACAAAAATAGGACGTGTATTAAATAATAATAAAATAATAATATAATATTATGGGTCTCAGAAAAAAAAAATGTTTATCTCTCGCACGGGGCACACTACGCGCATACGCGAACGAATACGAAGACGACACGAGGTAGTAATGATTACTATAATATTATATTATAATTATATATTATATCAGTACGATATTAATTCGGATCTGAACGGCTTTTCGACTTTGGTGGGCGCACACACTCACGTTCGAGCTCCGACTATAAATGTCGTGTATAATAATTAGGTAATAATTATAATTATGTTATATCGTCGTAGGAGATTTGGGTGGTTTTTCGGTGTTATTATCGCGACCGGGTACCGAGTACCTATAAATGAAGTGCCAGACTGTCGCGGTGCTCATATAACATAAAGATATGCAAAACGACTGCCCGAGAATAATATAAGCTCAGATAAAAACACGAATAATAGAGGGATACGTCGGCTGTGGCGGCGGCAGACTGAGTTCATCGAATGAGTGGTCTGCGTCGATCGTGGTAGGAGTATCTCATATCACATGTTATAATTTATAGAATCGGCAAACAATAATAATATAATATATTTATATCTGACGACCGTTTTTATTATAGCTTTTAAAAAGATAAATCGCTCACGCACCGACCACTGTATCATATATAAATATAGATATGACTAAAACTGCGTTAGGATTGTCTCTGTTCACCTGAAACAACGTGCGAGGAGAAACAATAACAGCTTTACAGCACCTCTACCCCGGCACGAGTTTCCGCGGTGGTTTTCGCGCGACTGTCGACACCAAAATCATACCGCTCGTCACTCGCCGGAATGCCTAGAATATATTATTATCATTATTAATATAAAGTATATATAATTTATCGTTTAAAATTCGTCACCATAACATCAGTTATCGTCAAGGTCACTATAATTCCATCATAATGTCATATACCTAGTACAGTAGTACCTATGTTATAATAATAACAATAATAATAATATTATGTCATCATCGTTATACACTTATACATAAGCCGGCACGTATACCGGATTCGTGTGGTTTTTCTTCCAAAATTTTCAATTTTCGGACATTTACGGAGAGCGGTAAATAAAGGACGGGGCCTAGGGAGTCTCCCCTTCCCTAGAGTCTATACCAACCTTTTTGATGGTAACTGTTAGGTTTATTAATTTAACAAAGTATCAACAAACAAACAACGTTTTAATATGCTGTCTCTAGTCATAGGGAACGATCTTGAGTCATGATTTTTGTACAAATTATACATTTTATTCGCGAGCCACATAAAATTACAATGAGGACCATATGCGGTTGCCGACCTCTGGACTGTAGACCAACAACCTTCCCTTAATATTCACAAAAGTTAACTTTAATAATAGGTAGTGGTTTTTTTTCAGAATCTCCCCCCCCCCCAGAATTCTACCTTGGATTCATCAATGTATTTACAGAGTGTTCAGCCATGTTTTTTGGTTTTCTCAATAATTAACTAGCTTTGCTAGACAGTAGTAAAACATGGAGGGTCAGTGGGCCATCTTGTATAACGATATCCTAAATGGAATTATTTAGAGATTGTATAAAATACATACCTTTTATGCTGATATAATAATATTGCTATAATATTATACTGCTACTATATATAATCACGAGGTTGGTTTGGAGGAAATTTATCATAATTGACGTCTTATATTTTGTAAGCCCCCTCCCCCACCACTAATAATTCAGGATATCATTTACTTAGAATATAATTTACTAGGATATTATGTTACTGTACAAGTCTTGATGTCTCGGGGGTATTGCGCTCACTTATTGTCTCTACTGCAAGCTTCTGTTTAACAAGTTGATACTCAATATAATTTTTTTTTTATTATACTACACTGCTTGTCCGTACAGATGTATATTATATAGTACCTATATATAATATGTGTACCTATGTGTAAATAACATTGCACAGAAAAAATATAATATAGTTGATCTATATCTATATACGCTACAGGATTACAAAACTTTGAGCAAACAACAAACACTCGACTCGAAATCAAACAACAATAAAGAAATAAAATAAATATCGGAGATACGGTGACGCCAATATATTATAATTCGACGACCATCATTCCAGTCGAGTGTTTTTGTAATCGCGACTTACTAACCGCGTGGAAGGTGACAATACAGTAAAATAATTTATTAGAAGTTATACAATGTAACATTTAATACCTAGGTAGTTATTGAGTTATTGCAATCTATTATTTAATCATTTTTTTTTGTCCACTATACTGAGCAATGTGATTAATTTATAATGTATTGTACATGCCTTCAATCGACAATCGTATCTATATAATATACGACCTAACGTGAATGTTAATGTTCGCGTTATTCACGTTTTACGTGGATCGAAACAATTGTGGAGGTTGAACGAAAAACTTAAGTTGCATATGGCAAAGGAATAAATACATATTAAATGAATAACTACACAGTTACACACAGTCACACAGATATATTTATAATATATTATAGTCTCGATACATTTACAGTCTATAGAGATTTTAAATGTCTTGAAATTTATTATTATTTTATTCTTGCAACTTGCAATGTATATCAGAGTAAAATAAAATATAAATATATTATGTGTAAAACAAGAATTGAATTTTAATAAAAATATTGACTCTTCGTGTTCAATAGTTCTTAATAAACATTCATTGAGATAAAAATAAATATACTATCTCGAGCTTAAGGCAACACCTATTTAAGAAACAAAAAAAAAATGATTTAAAACTTTTAACACTATTATTTTAATATATAGAATTAAGAATTACTTATACCATAATATCTAAGCAATCAAGCGTAAAAACAAAAAATCGATTACCAAAAATTGATATTATGAATGTTAAATAATTGTACGCAACGGTCGACAACGTAGATTGTGAGTATAAATTATTTATAAAAATGTAATTGTATTTTTATTAAGAAATAAAAATTAATATTGATACCGGTAGTGTATACATACTAAACTATTTACGGGTATTCAAATCTCGATTATATGGAGGGACGTTAATTGTACATCCTGTATTAGTGTTTTTGAATTACGATTATTGATTACCAATTTATCATACCTATTAAATTTAATAAACACACTGCAACTCACACACGCAGAAGGTATTATGTGTATGTGATTAATATTTTGTTTTAATCTTTTACACAATATATACCTACGTGCTTGAAATTATAATGCCCTAGATCCCCTTCAAGACTATAAATTAATTAATATTTACTTCGATAAAAATATATTACTAACCTAAGTTCTTCCCACGTCATTTAATTAAATAAAAAAAACAACTGAGACTATTATTACTATAAGCCGCACCGACCATAGTATTTTAAACTTTAGTTTTTGTACGAGATTAAAATATTATATTAATTATCCTTCTAAACAAACACGCGGAACGGAAAGACGTCTTATACCTATGTATAACGTTTTATTAATTATTGTAAGTCCCCACGTGCTTAGAGTAATAACAGTAACGCTCTCATCTCTGCAGACTAGACATAGGTACGTATTTTAATTTTTAACCCATTCATATTTAAACTATGAAGATCTGTGTCTAATCTACGTCACGCACACTCTTATCCCAGAACACCGTCATAAAAACACTTAGTACCGATGTGGGCTTGGCAGTTAGCATAGGAGATACAAATCAAATATACCTAAGCGCCAATAATTATTATAATGATACAACAGTATAATAGTGTAATTAGTACAGATGTATATGTGGGTGCCTGTCAACATATAATCGGTAAACTATAGTTTATTATATACAGGGTGATTTACCAAGCATGCTCGCCCCTTTTTTTCTTCAATAATGTAGTTATTCAAAATCTGCAGATTTCTGAATTTTTAAATATACTTTAATACCAAATTTTTAAATTCTATAGATTTTTTTACTACTTAAGGAGTTGTTCTGTGGAGATACAAACATCTATTTTTCAAAAGTCTCAAAAAGAACGCCGGATTTTAAACTGCTATAATTAAAATGTATTTTTGTAAAAAAAAATATAGCATTATTCTCTTTGGGAAAAGTTCAGGTTTGAAAGTGAAAACCATACCTGGCATATGACCCTCCCTCCCAACTAGCGCTACAGGCGATAATTTGCTCTTTGAAATATTAACCAGCATCCGATCACACAAATTTGTCTAATAAACTTCGTCGAGAACAAGTCGAATTAATACAATTATAAAGCAATAAAAATGGTTCGATTTTCAATTTTTAGGGTGTAGACAATTGAATCTAATTTTGGTATATTTTTCAAAATATCCAGGAAAAACTGGATTTTTTTTTGTGAAACCAAATTTCGGCTTATTTAAGTTTTAGATTCTGAGCGGAGCGATTAAAGTATTGATTTTACAATGATGTGTTTTTTTTTATTTGTGTCTGTACACGATATGTATTTTCGACAAAATCGATTTTGGTTTTCGGTGTAACTCTAAAACAAATGACCGTAGATAAATGACATTTTCACTGGTTATTTAAATTAGCATTTTCCACACACAATAACATTTTAAAAATATTTGGATTTGTTTTGAACTGTTTACGGACATTTTCAGTTTCCAATTTTATTTTTTATTTTTTCTATTTATGTCAATAAAATTTTATTTGTTGGGTAAAAAAAGATTGAAAATTTAATACGATGCTTTTAATAGATTGTTACAATTATATTTGAAAAATGTTAAAAAACCATAGTCACAATTTTTTTTAAAAGCATTTAAAGTACGATTTTTGACAACATTTATCAAATTTAAAATTAAAAAATTTTTTTTTTTGGTTTATAAGTTTTTATTCAATCTGTTACAATAAAGAGAATAATAAGAA